TCAATAGATACTTTTCAGGAGCTGTTAACCCCGGGGCGTCTGGCCTCCTGATTGGTCAAAACTTGGCTGTGATAATCATTAAACTGTGATGACTGATCTCTGTCCTGTCTGTCCCAGAAACATCATCCTGACATGAACATGAGCACTTTAAGGCACAGAATATGTTATCTGGCAAATTTAACACCCAGTATCAGCTTATTGGTTATTTAATTTTGTAAAACAAACAAGACAGGAAGTGGAGAATAAATCTGAGCAGCAGAATGCTTCTTAATTAGGAAAAAGGATGAAGTTCAAATTACAAACCAGATAAGAAACAGCAACATTGTGCTGTGGTCTTGTAAAGTCGATATACTGTCTATTGTATATGTAACTTCTGGTTGAGTGATAGGAAGAGTGAGGGAACGGTTATCTGAGCTCAAACATTGTGTAACTAGGTCAGTACTTTTCCTATATTGATCTTTGGTGCAAAAAAACAACCCTGCAGCAAACATAATGGCTTCTTCCAAATGCAGCCCTGATAACTAGAGTGACAATGTGACTGTCTGACAGAAGCTGATGATCAGATTCAGCACCCTGAGGCTGAAACCAGCACATCACCACCAGGCGGAAAGTTTGAGCCTAAACACAGACTGAAGTAATTTAATTTCCTCATCACTCACCCATCTGACCTCCAGGAATCTGTTAAACATTAAAAGATTTTTTTTTTTTTTTTTTTTTTTAAAGAGTGGTGGTACTTTAGCTTTCCTCTAAAGCATGTGTGGCCTTGTAGTACCAGTACATAAACCAGTCTGCTCCATGAAGGAAGTCAGTGGTGTTTAACATGTATTTGTCTTTGTGGAATTGCAGTGAAAACTATCCATAAAGCTGATGAGCACAGATTATAAACTCAGGTGGACTTTGGTTCTCGGTGACGCTCGTATCAGCTGGTCTAATACATGGATTGCTGCCATATCTCTAATGGCTGTCAATTAATACACCACAAAATTTTACAGCATCACTCGAAAAAGATAGAAATGTCTGATGAATGTTGCATAATCCACAAAACTGTGGTTGTTATATAATTACTCTGATTATTATTATTACTTATTATTTACAGTGTAAAAACAATTCAAGTAAACATTTCAAATCGCATTTGTAGGTAAGAAAAAGTAGGTAAGTATAATGACAAAAATGCACTTTAAGTATCAAAAATAAAAGTTCTTAATGCAGAGAGATTATTACTTAAGCCTTAAAATGTAAGTTGCATTTTACTTTTTTTTTTTTTTTAATCACAGTTTTGGTTGAAAAATGACTTTAACAGTTCTGACAATAGTTGCCAGTTGATTTTCTACTTATTTATAGATGAATCAACTAATCCTTTCAGCTCTACTTGTATTAAGTATTGTATTAATTATTGGTTTAATCTATGACAAAGTGCCATACCAGTTCCTTCGTTTTTCATGAAAGTCGCTAAAAGGAGTAGAGAGCTGTGAGTGTGTTTTATATTCAAGGGTTTATGATCTACATGCAGTATAAATTAAAAATTTGGTCCCCAGTTAATTAAAATCATGATAGTTTAAGGCTGTTATCATTGCTTTCCATAAGGAGCTGTGTATCAGCTTCTTATCTCATAATTTTGACTTTTTATCTCATAATTTCGAGCTGCGTATCAATGTTAGGATTACACGAAGTGAGTAAAGCCTATTTGGGTAGGGAATGTAAAGTGGGGGCAACAGTTTCCACAACGTTGAGTAATACCAGTCAACTAAAATAATATCACTTATATCACACTAAGTAGCTAAACTTTAGCTTAATCTGAACCTACCGGCTGCCAGTTCATTCACAAAGTGTTTTGCTCTCCTGACAGTAAAGTTTTCACACATTTCACTTTTATTTGGGCAATTTAATTTTTTTTAACTTCCGGTTCGTGCTCTCAACGGCTCGTTGTTTTGGTGACCAAACAAACAAGCAGAACAAACAAACAACAAAACGCACCTGAGGCAGTTGCAGAAGTGGTTGAGCAGGAAGGGTCGGGGAAGAAACAGTGCAGCCGATAGCTACACTGTCTACACACAGAAAGCCCGCCATTTCTTCTTTAGCAAACACAGCAAATATGATGGCCGCAGTTGTAGATTTCCAAGCCCGCGTCGTCGTCCATCTTGAAAACGTACTACACCTTTCCGCACCTACAGCAGAGATGAAGGTAAAAGAACCACCTGCCCCCTGATTGCTTTGTGATTGGATTGTTACTGTCCAATAAGATTCATGTGTAAAAAAAAAAATGAATAAAATTGGGTCAAAATTAAGCGGCAACATCTGAGGCTGAAAAATGAAGGCAACACGGAAGTACCAAAAACTGCACTTCTCCGACTGTCCGCTTGAGGCTGGCTCCAACAGTGATTCAATCCCCGTAGACTGCCATGTTAAAATGTTCAACTTTACAACAGAAATAAACATGTTTACAGCCTGGTATAACAAACGGTGTTGGGCTCTAGAGCTCATGACAACTGTTTATATAATTCACCTGTTTGCATTTTATTAAGGCTTAAAGTTGGAGAATTGAGGACGTGCCGCTTTGAGTGACAGCCGGGTGTTCGGTGGACACAGATGTACACAGATGTTTATAAAAGCACTTCTTCTTTCACAATGTCTTTGTATTACTGCATCACAAATGTCATTTGTTCAGATTTGAATCACCGTCAGTCTGTGTACTGTGTGATACAGAGCAGAAAACTGTGAGTCTCGGTGCTCAAAGTTCCCAAGGTGTGACAATAAAGTTATAAGTAGAATTTTGACCCTATTTTTACACCTGAATCTGATTGGATAATCCCTGCATAAAGCAGAGTCCAATCAGAGGGCAGGTGGTTCTGTTACCTTCAACCCTGCTGTAGATCCTGAAGGGTGTGGTAGATTTTCAAGATGGATGACGGTGCAGGCTTATAAACCGTGTTAAATATGCATAGGTTTTATTGGCATATGCTTTTTTATGTCAAATATTAATCCAGTCATTGAACCAGTCAGCTGCCCTTCTGATGAGGAGCCTGACTCTCAGCGCACAGTGATCACCAAACCTTTGAGCTTTACATTATAGACGGGATGCTGTAACACAGCCCGTCATAAAACCTGCACAGTGTGCAGATCAGTCTTGTTCTTTAATCTGAGTGATAAAAATATTCAGACAGTGTTAAAGGGTTTGGTTGTACCCCTTTCATAAAATGTTGAAAGCATCCTAACTCTCTTATGGTGGTGGTTAAGCTTAAATATTGTGTGGCCTAAATATTATATTTATGAAATTATGACATTAATATTTATCTGATTTAATAATAATTTCTCCACATTCTAACTCGATTATTTTCAGTTGGCCAGATGTAGTCCCTTGAGAAGATGTTAGATCTTAATCCGAAAGATCTCTGAAACACTGAATACTTTTGAAAGGCTTGTACTGTTTACACAGGATGTGGAAAACCCATTTTGAGTGAAAAGACAGTGTTTATTTTCTAACCACAGTGCTGTCATCATACACCAACTTTAAATCAGTCATAAACAAAGCAAACAACCCAAACCCACTGGAACCACGCCGACTGTGGTAAAGATGTGGTTACAGTCACTATCTCTCGCTTTGGTACTCAGTTTGCTGTTTTGTATTTTTTTGTTGTTTTCATTTCTTTTTTTCTCTCTTTTATGACTTTGTTGGCATCATGCTCACACTGTGTAATCGTCAACGCTTAATACAAAAAGATTGAAAACTAACCAAGCAGCAGTCTTTAATTACACTTGTTGTATTATGATTAAATACATATTACCAGAACATGCATCTGATCCTCAACACATTTTGTCAGAGCTGGCAAAACATGCTTTCTTGTGATAGGACATGAGCACTTGTTGATATGGCCGACAGTGTGTTTTATGACTCGACTGAAGATATCTCTTATCTCACATATGAAGTAAATTGAAGTTTATATATGTATGAAACAACAGAGACTTCTGTTGTGATTGTAGGTGACTTCCGTGTGTTGCATAAGATCATAAAATTTTACATGTGATGTGTTTATTGAGAACAGATCAATAGTAGACATTCACTGTTCACTCATGTTGCTTTTTATTGGTGATACGTGAATTATAGTCAGAACAACTCGCCCTTAAAGTTGGAATCCATATTGTTTTTAAGTGAAAGTTTAAGGAAGCTGATATTTGAATCGTGAGTTATTTCTGGAAAAAGAAATTATAAAAATGTTGATGCTCAGTATCTCATAAAGTCAGTAGAGATTTGTCCAAGATGCTTAACTTAACTGAGCAGAGGCAGCCTAGTTGTGTTTTCATGTTGTAAGTTACCCTCTGTAATTAATGCACATAGAAATAAAAAGCACAAGATATATTTTTGTTTAATTATTTAATTGACAAACTTTTGTAACTTTGCACAAAACCCATTTTACTTTTGGATACCGGACTAGCTTGTTAGCAAACGTGGTAAAACATGTAAATGAGAAAGTTGCGGAGTTAGTTTCAACATAACCCATCATCAACAGACACAAGATAACTACAGAGTAATTCAAAGTCGGCCTGTGTCCAGGTGCCCATCTTCTCATTTTCCGTCTGTGGGCCACCTGTACTTTTCAGCTCAGCGGGCACATGCACCACCCCTGGTGACCTTTGACTGCACCTGCCAGAGCTGCACTCCTCCAGATTATGACCCTGCCTATTGTTTGTCTATCTCTCTTCATCTGCAAATCCCTCCCGCTCTCTGTACCTTCACTGTTGCCTCTCTGTCAAGGATTGTGATCTCTTTGGTGTTGAGTTAATGTTTGATATACTACCAGAGATATAAAGCCCCGCCACCTCAGTGGTTCTCTGTGGTGCACATCTCTGCTTTTCATCACCGGTACTTACTGTTCTCTGTGCTCACCTGACCTTAGTGTGTAGCTTCATTTTCTCCTGTCCGCTCCTCTGTCTCGGCTTCACTCTAATCATCTGCTGTTTGTCTCGATCAGCTGTCTGCTCTCAGTAACCAGGGAGACGTCTGGATAGTTTGGGGTTTTTTTTGCCTCTGAGTTGCTTGTCAGTTTTGCCATGAAATTCATACGTAGTTCGCTGAGGTGGCTGTGGTACCACAGAAACTACATCATCATCTTCGTCACTCCACTGGTCCTCCTTCCCCTGCCAATCATAAGCCCTACATCGGTGAGTGTGTGTGTGTTTGTGCCAGTGGAGGTAACTGGCTGTTTTAATCTGTTTTTCTTGACTGAAACATCACCATTGTTTGCAGAAGATGTTTGTTCTCACACTCATGTCAGAGAGCTTCACCAGGGAAGCGATTTCACTCATTTATTAAGCTTGTCCAATTTATTAACACCTGGTGAGCAAAGCCAGGTTAACGTTACAGGGGGCCCTGGGTCAAAAATGTGTTTTGTGTGTGTGTTGTTTTTCGTAGTTGTCTATGAGAGTAAACTCAAAACCATTTTTACTGCAATTTGAATATGTAAATATGTTTTTTTCTTCACAACACATCTGTCAATTTTACACGGAACAATTAACCAATTAATAAAGGAAATAACCGTCACATGTATTGATAATGAGAACAATTGTTGGTTACAGTTCTTTGATGGAATAGTACGACCTTGGCCCAGGTTTATGTGTCGCAGACAGAAGAAAATGACAGGAATTTGATCAACAACAACAAATGGCTTCAATATAAACCAAACACTTATGCTGCAAATGGACATTTGGATTCTTTAGCATTCATTCATTAGCATGTTGATTTACTGTATTCAAAAAGGCTGAGTTACTTTATGACTGAGAGGCAAAGGTACGATAACGGTACACAGTGTACAGTTGATCTTAGACCGCATTTGAACCCTTGACGAGACACATGAAAATGGCTGCCTCCTAAATTTCAAATGGTCCCTTAAGCAACTCCCACAATAAAATGCATGCTAAGTAATTTTCAAAAACAGTTTTAACAACATGAGATGCATGTTTTCATTAAATAGACATTTTGAGTCACATTCACTCTTTCTCTTTCAGGTTTTTTTTTTTTAATGAATGGTTGATTATTTTCAAAAAAATGTATTTGAAGCTGTCTCGCTGGTTCCTGTCTTTATGCTAAGTTGAGATAACAATTTACAGGCTCCAGATTCATATTTATTCTTATTCAGCTTCTTACTCTAAAATTAGGTCCTTCTTATCAACTGCTAATCTGCACTAATTTGTACATGCTTTTATCTCTTCGTGGCTCGACTGTAATGCACTTTACTCAGGCATCAGCCAAGGCTCCCTTCACCAAAGAGGCCAACGAGGCACGATCTGGAATTGATTACAAAATTTTACTGCTCAGCTTTAAGGCCTTAAATGTCCTCGCTCCTAAATACCTTTCTAAATTACTGACCTGGTATGTGCCCTCTTGACCACTGAGATCTGCTGATGGATCCTTGCTGGTGACTCCCAGCTCACAGCTTGTGACAAAGGGTGACTGGGATTTTGCTATTAAAGCATTCACCGTATGAAACTCCTCACACATAAATCCCTTCTTATCATCTTTCTTTTTGTGAAAGCATTCAGAAATGTTTGACACAGGTTTTTGTTTATACTGATTATTTCTATTTATTTGATGTTATTCACTTATTGTTTTCATTTCTTGTGATTTTGCTTGTAAAGCAATTTGTTAGGAAAATACTATATAAATAGAGTTTATCATAATAATTATTATTTAGAGTACACATGAGAGTGGTATCAATCTTCTCTAAGGACTCTCAGCAAGAAAGTGAAGAAAATATTAGTAAATAATTTTTGAAAATACTAATAATTCTAAAAAACCTAAAAAAAGGGTGATGTGACACAATTTAATGAAAATATGATGCATTTGATGTTCTTAAAACTATACAGATAGTATATTATAGTAGTAAAGTAATGCTACTAAGTGCAAAAGTGCTCATAAATGATACTGTTGCAGTGTGCATGTAATAAGTAATTTCATACGGTTTATATGACTTTGTCAGAATAATTCACACATTGTACACACTTTGTTTTCCCTTTATCTCGCTTTGTCTTAATGTTTTAAAAGTGTAAGTGCCATATGAAGCAGACATTGTCGCTCAGTGCGTGACCTGCTGAGTTGAACGAGGTCTCGTGTGCGTGGCAGTGGAAAGTTTTGTGTCAGGTAGTTTAAACAGTCTTTAAGAAAAAGGATTTTACAGAGAACCCATAAAGAGTTATCTCCCGAGACAAGAGTATGACAAACTGTTTGTTTTATGATCAAGGGTAACTGCTATCTGCATGTGTAAAGTCTTACTGCCTTTTAAAGAGACGTCGAAGATAAGACGAAGGACGCGACAGCTGAAATTCTGTGTGTCTTTGTCTGTGCCAAATCAGATGAAGCACGTGTGTCAAGTGTCTTTTCATGACTTCAGATGTAAAATGACAAAATGCTGCACTGATGTTAGAGTATTGAAACACTTCTACTTCACTGCCACTTCTGACTGTGCGTGTGTGTGTGTGTCTGTGTGTTTACAGCAAGCGAAATGTGGTTATGCCATCATCCTCATGGCTCTGTACTGGTGTACGGAGTGCATGCCTCTGGCTGTGACGGCACTACTGCCAGTTGTCCTGTTTCCTATGATGGGCATCATGACGGCCGGAGCGGTAAAGACCTTATTTATACTCCTGTGTGTCATTATGAGCCAGTTTATATGTACCTGTGCCTTATTTATCCCTGTAGGTGAATACAGCTGCTTGTGACCCCTGACTTTGGCCTTCTCTGATTGGTCAGAAAGGCGAGGCTTGCTAAAAAGCCTTAAAAGGGCGTATCTCTGCACTGCTGCCACAGTGTTCAAAGAGTCTGGGTCACAGGAGCCTTTGCTTTAAGTAAATGTACCAATACAACAGTGTAGAAATACATTACTGCTGCAAGTAAAGAAGCATTATCAGCAAAATACATGGTACAAGATATAAGTGCTCGTTCACAAGCAAAATGATTACTGTAACTAATATAGTATTATTCTTTATTATTTGATTGTTAAAATGTATGCATCAATGTGTAAGCAGCATTTTACTGTTTTTAGTGCTCGAGTAGGAGCTGGCTTTAATTACTTTATATACAATTACATAGCTTAGTCAGGTGTTTTCAAGGATACAGAGACGAGATGACCATGAGATGTGAGATGATTAATGAGGTAGTAAAGAGTAAAAATAAACACAAGCAATGCTGGATAATTTGATCTCTTAAGTTATTTAAATGAAACCATTTCTTTGGTGGACGTGCTAACATGTTATAGACATCAGACATAATATGTTTATAAGGGATCGTTGGAGGAGTAGAAGTTCAAAGTAGCATAAAATGTAAATCCTCAAATTAAGTCCAAGTACATCAGTCTAAACTTCACCTTCTGTTCTTCGTGACAAAACATCTACCGCCTCAGTATAACCTCATATTTGTCTTTGCTTGGTCCCTTCACCTGTCAGCAATAGCACAACTAAATTTACTTTATCTTAACTGATGAAACGCTGCATACTGAAAGTGATGATGTGACAGTAATTTTCAGGACGTTCTGTAGCTTCTGATCTGATCTGCTGATCCCAGTGTTTGGCTTTTATTGCTCATAAAACAAATGGGATGATACATTACCTCTGCATTAGACAGCGTGTTCACAGGTTACTTCAGCGGGTTACTTGATTCTTCTGCTGAGGTTTGTGTCTGTGCGATCTGTTTCAGGTCAGCATTGAATATCTGAAAGACTCCAACATGCTGTTCATGGGCGGCCTGCTGGTCGCCATCGCAGTGGAGCAGTGGAACCTCCACAAGCGCATCGCTCTCCGAGTTTTGCTGCTGGTTGGTGTTCGTCCGTCCTTGTAAGAAAGCCCTGTGATACAGCTCACCTGTGTACACTACAGCACACAGCAAAGCCATGACTAGAGGATCAACACTGCCTACACAGATCTTAATTGTTCATGTGTTTAAGATCATTTTTCACATTGCATTTATTTACAGTGACAACACATGTCAAAGATGTTCAACTGATCACACAGATCCTCCTCATCTTTCAGGATGATAGTGTTCTCTGAGTTTACACTGTTGAGTGATTTCTGCACAACAACCAGAGGCATCAACATCTTAACAAGTTATGTAATATGATTTGTATGGTGGCCCTGAGAGCATATATGCAAATATACAAAACAAAAGCAAATGCAGGAAATGCACGTGCAGCATTTGGAAAAAAAAACACATTTAATTAGAGGAACATGCTGCAGAAAGAGAAAACACAACCAGATACAGAACACTACTGAAGAGCTACAGAAGTGAGATGCTAATAAAATATCATCTTATTAAGACTTTACTTTGACTGACAATGTGAAAAATCACATGTATGTAAGCAAATAACCACACGTTAAATTTGGAAATAGTGCTCATCTCCATCATTTTCAACACATCGCTACTCATGGTCACCATCTTCATGCTCTCTCCCTCCCCTTCACCTCTCTCACAGGTTAATGATGGGCTTCATGATCGTCTCGTCCTTCCTCTCCATGTGGATCAGCAACACGGCCACCACAGCCATGATGCTGCCCATTGCCCAAGCCGTGCTGCAGCAGCTCAAAGACACCGAGTCGCAGGCGGATGAACGAGATTTCCAGGCCGCAGACAACCATGCATTTGAGATGGAGCTCGCAGAAACTAAGGGGGAGATGGCCAAAGAGAAACAGCCCAACACTGAGCGTAAGTAAAACATATCTGAGGCCATGGAAAGTTTCTAGTGAGTAACCCTTACAATAATCGTGACTTGATGTGTCGTGCTCCAGATGAACATGAGATGAGTCAAGCTGCACTGCGGGAGTCCAGGAAAAGAGAAATAGATGAGAAGTACGAGCTCCTGACCAAAGGGATGAGTCTGAGCGTGTGTTACTCCGCCAGCATCGGGGGCACGGCCACGCTCACTGGCACGACTCCTAACCTCATCCTCAAGGGTCAAATCGACGAGTAAGGCCTGAGTAAATATCAGTCAACAAGCACGGGAAGATGTTATTCCAGATAAGTAACCTCCTTTCATCTCCATCTTTTGTGAAGGCTCTTCCCTAACAACGGTGACGTGATCAACTTTGCCAGCTGGTTCGGCTTTGCTTTTCCCAACATGGTGCTCATGCTGGTGTTCTCCTGGTTGTGGCTTCAGTTTCTCTTCCTGGGCTTCAAGTAAGGCAACCAGTGTGGCACAGTCAGCCGCTTCCCTGAACAACTAGGACGTTTATTGACCAGAGCGCTTTTTTTACTCCTCAGCCTGAAGAAGTCTTTCGGCTGTGGCGTGAAGAGCGACAGGGATAAGGAGGCGTGCGCGGTGATGAGGGAGGAGTACAACAAGCTGGGGCCCATGAAGTTTGCTGAGGGGGCGGTGCTCAGCATCTTCGTCCTGCTGGTGGCCCTGTGGTTCACCAGGGAGCCAGGCTTCATAGACGGCTGGGCCACTGTGCTCTTCAACAAGGAGAAGGCGTGAGTCTCTCACTTTCTCTTTCCTTTTTTTTGTTGTTGTTGTTGTTGTTGACATGACTATGGAGGATAAACTCGTACTAAATGCTCCTGCTAAAAAAGCTGAAAAGTGTTGTTTGTGCAGCAAAAGCCTAATATTGCTTGTTCCCTTTGTCTTGTGACAAAGAGCAGGAAACACTGCGGCAACATGTTCAAACAACAATATGTCGTCTTATCTTCTGTACCTCAGCTTTGTGTCCGATGGAACCGTCGCTATCTTAGTCTCCATGCTCTTCTTCGCCATCCCCTCCCAGCTGCCCAGGTTTGGTGGCTATGGTTACGACGACGAAGGTGAAATCACATTTACAGGAAAACATCCCTGATAATATTGTGCTGTGATATTTGTGTGACCTAAATTTCAGTTCATTAGAGAGCTGGGTGATAATTACCGAGCAGATATGAAACTGCTCTTTCAAAGTAATTACTGTTTCATGTTCAAACTTCATCTGGGTCTCACAGGTAAGGCGGTGAAGGCTCCCTCCACTCTGCTGAACTGGCAGGTGGTGCACGAGCGGATGCCCTGGAACATCATCCTGCTGCTGGGAGGAGGCTTCGCTCTGGCTGCTGGCAGTGAGGTAAAAAACCCAAGAGCACCGTGTTTCCTCCTTTTAAGACTTCATGATCCCTTTTATATTGTGCTGGAAGGATTTGTGGACTTATCAATGAGTGTGTTTTGTTTCAGTATAAATTGAATACCTGAATTGAATAATATTGTTGAGCTATTTCACTGTACTCTACTCAAATTGGCGGATCAACCAACATATATCCCTAGAGCCATGCAGCTAGCACGACAAATAACATGATAGTACAATGGTCTTTCCTTGTTTATTTGTTTCCAGGAGTCAGGTCTGTCCAAGTGGTTGGGAGAGAGCCTCGCACCTCTGGAGAAGATCCCCCCCTTCGCCATCTCGCTGCTGCTCTCCCTGCTGGTGGCGACATTCACCGAGTGCTCCAGCAACACGGCCACCACCACGCTGTTCCTGCCCATACTGGCCTCAATGGTAAACTGAGTACAAATACTGTCCACATGCACAAACAGCTTTGCACGTGATTCTTCTCTCATTGATTACACCGTTGTTTCTTTAGGCCACAGCTATCAAGATACACCCACTGTATGTGATGCTGCCCTGCACCATTGCTGCCTCTCTGGCCTTCATGCTGCCTGTGGCTACACCGCCCAACGCCATCGCCTTCTCCTTCGGAAAGCTCAGAGTCATCGACATGGTGAGATTCACACACATATGCAGTCCGTTAAACACCATCTGTGTCACAAGTATCACTCACATGATCAAGGTTTAGAGATGGCTGCGCCCATGACTCTTTGATTTAATTCAAAGGATAATAATAGTCAGGAGGTTGTGTCTGTTGAGGTAGAAGGGAGTTAAGTGTCCTTTACATAGACTGCAGTGTGTAGTAATAATCCCTTATGATATAAATCACTTAATTAACATGACCTGGACCCACTGAAGCAGCACACAATACATGGATTAACCGCCTGACACCTGAGAGGATGAGCTTCCTAGAAACTGTAGCTTGCAGTTGCCTGTTGTTGTCGACAACAGGCAAAGAAAATATGTAGGACTTAAAATATAAAATTTAATAAAATGAGACTTTTTAAATAACCTCTAAGGCCTTTATTTCAGGAAACTAATTTCATTGCTTTTTAAGACTTTTCAAAACCTGCACATACCCTAGTTTTTTTTTTTTTTAACTCATACTGATCAGAATGTGTCTGTTCTTCCAGGTGAAAGCCGGCTTCATGCTGAACCTCATTGGGATTTTGACCATTAACTTAGGCATCAATACCTGGGGATACGCCATGTTTGACATGGGCACCATGCCTCATTGGGTCAACATTACAAGTGAACCCTGAGTGAGGAAGGACAGAGAGAGAGAGAGAGAGATGGAGAGAGAATGACACAGAATTGGTTTTATCTATCTTTTGAAGAAGCTAAACTGTTCTAACTTAAAATAGTGCATTATTGTAGGATCCCTTTGCTCATTAAAAGAAGCCGATGAGAAAAAATGTTTTCAGGGCCTTTTAAAGGAGAGAAGAGCTGTAGCAGGAGCTCTGATCGTTTTAGAAGTAAAGGAGGAAAAGAAAGGTTGGCCACAGTCAACGTGGTGAGGAAAACAAAGTTTAAAGATGAACCTGATCCAGAATAAAACACCATTTAGTCTCAGTTGCACTGTACAAATCCCAACACTCTGAATCAGTCATTGTGATTACTGTTTTACCGTAAAAACCAGAACCAAACAAACAAGCAGCACTGAGATAAACTTGAATCAGTTTAGTAGCTTCTTTATCAAACCCACTCTGCCGTCAGTGTCCGGTACTTCCTCGTGTCATTCCAGTGACTGAACAGAAGAGAAATGATGCGTGTTCTTTTTTTCTTGCTTTAAAAAAGACTGAGGTCATTTCCTTGTACTGTTTTCCCTGAATGTGATGTCATCTCATTAATCTATTTATCATTTACCAATTATGCAGCTCACAGTTTGTTTGAGTGATTGTTTAAAACAATGTGATTATTCCGAGTGATGTGTTTACAGACACCATGTAAATGAGGTGAAATTGAATTAATTGTATCAGTTAATTTAACTTATTACTGTGGTCCTTTTGTTGGACCTTGAGTCTTTGGTTTTTTTTATCAATGTTTTCATCCCACTGTTGTACATGTGTAAATTGTCAAAGCCAGTGTCAAAGTGCCTTTAGGGGATTATTTGTTAACCTAGAAGGGATTTCTGGCAATATGCTCCTTGAATGAATAAATGTAAATTAAAGGAATAGTTCAGAATTTTATTTATTTTCTTGTCAAGTGTTAGATCAGAAGATTGATACCACTCTAACCCCACAGCATATTCATTTATCTCAGAATAAAGCCAGGAAACAGCTAGTTTCCAAAGGTAATAAAATCTGTCCAACAGCACCTCTAAAGTTTACTGATTAACATGTTGTATCTTGTTTGTTTAATACAAAAACTATTACATGCCAGTTTATTTCTTGGCCGGGCTCAATGACTTTCTGGAAACTACTCCCCTTGAAACACAACTTGTCATTTTGTCACTTAAGTTTCTGTAGGGATTAAATAAACAAGATGTTAATGTTTTTTTTGGGGGGGGTTAGTTTTTTCTGTTTTTCTCATCTAACTCTTGGCAAGAAAATAACGTATAGCAATTCCAAAGATGTCAAACTCTTCCTTTAACAAACCCACTCCAGTAATTATTGGGACATGTTCACAAATTTGAGGTGACACTGAAAAATGCTGTTAAGCATTGAGGAAGGTGAAACACAGAAAGCGCACAAATCAATAGCAGGAAGGTGTTACCAATACAGCGTACAGTGAGCACAGATGTAAAGGTTGGTTCAAGGATAAGACTGAGATAAGAGGCTGCCAATAAGATACAATCTGAGTGGAGGTCAATTTCTATCATGTTTATTACAGCTAAATGTAATAAACTGCAGAAACAGAGACAGAACGTCCCGGCAGAGTAATGTGTGTTTTTTCACATTTTATATGTACCAGAGCTGTTTCTACTCTGAAAATAAAGCATCATCGTGTGAACAATGTCTCTTCCATTCACTTGACACCCACAATATTAACAATCAACACACATGCCATATTTCAAAAAGTCCCATAAATCTTTATTTATTTTACTTTTGTTCAGTCACACCAACATTTGAATCAAAATAATTTGTACACGAGTCACAATCGATCATAAATAAATCTGCTCTACAAATCTGTGTTACATTTTTGACATAACATTCAAGTTAATCTGAGCCGACTGGACTCCCCCTCCTGTCCCATTTCACGACTTTTAGCACATTTGCTAATTTTGTCTCTCAACCTTTTATTCCCTGTAACTCACAATCAGCAACTTGTACAGGCCCAAAACAAAAACAGTCATTCAGATTTGAATCACTTCAGGTGACAATCTGAATCAAACAGGTGCATTCAAGTAATTTCCTTTCAATCAGATCTGTAAGAAGTACAGATATTTTTTTGCAAATGATTTGCAGTGTTTGTTTGAACACACTTGCTGTAACAGACGGGTGGAGTTCACTGCAGTTTAAGCAGAATCACAGAAACTAAACTGGTTTTAAAGTGCATCAGACTGATGCACATCATCATCATCATCAGACAGCATGTGCAGATATATGCTGGAAATAAGACAGAGAATTATACTGTTTGAGTCAGAAGATAGAAAGCCAAGTGTGCATATTACAATTTAGAGGCATCAAAAGACAGTTCAGTTACAGATTTTCTGTTTGATCTGTGTAATAAATGCCCTCGATTAACAACAGATCAGCGCACTCAGGTCCTCACTGACTGCAACGTTTCAGAATGGAAATGATGAGGCAGAAATCAAGTAACAGAGAAACCGCACAAGAAAATGAGGACATGGACGCAGGAGACGTGACAAGGCCGATGATGATTTGAGGATGAATTGATCTTTAAAAGAGTTCTGCTACATTCCCCAATCTTCCTCCAAGTTTCCCTTTTCTTCGCAAACAGTAAAACTTTAACTTGGACAAATAGGGTTCTTAACAACTTCTTTATCACCTACATGAAGCAACAGGAGGGCTGGACAGTACAGTTTATACACAGATCACACAGTACATTTATGGTCAGATCAGCTCACTGTTTCCTCATTGATGTCTTCGTGGAGATTTTGTGCTTTGAGCAAAGACAATAAACGCATATGCTCTACAGTTTATACAGGTAACACGACTGGAGAAATAAATGAGGAACAAAGGAATAAGGAAACAGGAAATAGGTCTGATATAAAGTCAAAAAGACTAACTACTGTCTACTCTGTAGAAAATGTGCTAATAGGTTTTGGAAATCTATTTGAACCTTTTTAAAACCAGATGACCACAGTACTGACATTTAAATTCATATATTTCTACCAGACCAGTAATCATGCTTCAAACTGACACACAGACACACACACAGTACAGACAATCATACAAAGTACAGAAACACACACACTCCAAAAAGCAAGAGTACACACACACACACACGCACACGCACACGCACACACACACACTCGCTGAATCTGAGAAATAATTTCCCCAGAACCAGTGTGTAGGATTCATTCGGATCTATAGTTGATAATATTCATAATCATGTTTTCATTAATGTATAATCACCTGAAACTAAGAATCACTGTGTTTTCGTTATCTTAGAATAAGCCCTTCATATCTACACAGGGGGTTGCCCGCCATGTTTCTACAGTAGCCCAGGATGGACAAACCAAACACTGGGATCTACAGAGGGCCGTATTTCGCTACCTGAAGGCCACCGCAGGTTCTCCTACACGCTTGGAGAGGGAGGGGTGAGGGGAGGGGAGGGGTCTTCAGCTGGTTGCAATCTACAACCTCACCACTAGATGCCACTAAATCCCACACACTGGTCGTTCAAGTCCTAAAAATACACGTTTTTAGACGCAAGATTTGTTCCTAACAGCTACAGGAATGAAAAAAATAATTTTCTATCAATAGTCGAAGATACAGGGTTTTTTTTTTTTTTTCTTTATTCACTTCATGACGTGGCGAGAGAGCGAAAGCCATCTGATGTTTCCCCAAAATTTGATCACGTGCTGGTTTATCATGTCACAAACACACTTTGTCACAGCGACGCCACACCAAGCTGTGAACTGTGTGTGTCCATGTGTGTGTTTGTGTGAATGTGGCTTCTTGACAAACTTACACGTGTTTACACACACAGACACACACACACACACACACACACACACACACACAGGCTGTAACCGACACATCTGTATGGGTGTTTTCTGGACGGCATTCTCTCGACGGGAGAAGGAGAAAGAGAAAGACGGAGAGAGAAAGAGAGAAAGAGAGAGAAAGAGAAAGAGATTACTGGATTGACAGGATGTTAACCCCACCAGCGTGCTCTGATCGTCCCTCAGGTCAGTCCGTACATCCACCTGTCTCTCGTGCTGGTGTGTCATCTCTACGTCCCACCGTTGTACGAGTAGTCTGCCTTGTTGTGCATCACCAGCTTATTGTCCACAAAGTAGAAGCTGTCGGACTGCGTCTCATACGGGTGCAGGATCATCTCTCTGACTGTGAGCAGACACACACACACACAAAAATAAAATCACAGCTGTTAGAAAACGTAGGACCCATGAGGTCTTAAAATGAATCTGAGGAGGGTCCCATGATGATTAATACAGGGTAAAAAGAGGAATAGTTAGTTTTAGTATTTTGTCCACCTCATTGTGTATTAATGAGGATAGGCTGAATAACAGGAACCCCTCTCTGCATAATGCAATACAGCTGATCAGCTCCACCAACTGTGTGATGCTCACACACCTGAATCAACTCCTCTCTAAAACAGCTTCACCTTCAGTTGCAGTGAGAGAGAGAGTTGGGGAGAAAGAGAGAAGAGAGAACATACAGCAAAGGGCCACAGGTCGACTTGAACCCAGGCCGCTGCGGTAAGGACTAAGCCTAAATGGTATCAACACTTTACTATTTTTTCAGACAAGTTCATTAAAAATGATGTTAATAAAAACCATTATCTGGGTGCCATTACAATTCCTTCACAGCAGATTTGCTGTAGCACATTATGGTCTGTCTGGTTTATAAACATAAATGAATAGGAGCACAGACATCGACAGAATTAATCCCACAGCATGAGAGTATGTAAGCATGCTGCCTGAACCACAGGGCGCCCAAATAGTTTTCTACTGTGTGTGTGTGTGTGTGTGTGTGTGTGTGTGTGTGTTTATAGACTCACTGATGTCCTCAGACAGAGGTGGGAATTCGTAGATGTGTTCACAGGTGTTCTTGCTGCTGGGCATGCAGAAGCCGAACTCAAAGTCAAAACTCTTGAGCAGCTTCTCGCGGAAATAATGTCTCTCGATCATCCTGAAGTTTTCTATGGGCATGTCTCCGACCGTGAACTCAACGCTGCTCAGAGAAAGACAGACGGACGGAGAGAGGGGAGTGAGACAAGAGAAATCACAGAGAGGCAGAGGACACAGCGATTACTCTGTTGGTGACTGCGTCCTTGTAAATAAAGATTCACACACGTTCTCACTTACGTGGCTCCAACTTGCCGCAGCCGGAGGAAAGCCGGGGTGAACTGGTAACGGACGAACCGGCCAGCGTTTGGGTCAATATCCCTCTTCTCTCCTGCTTTATCTAAGGTGAGGATTGGTTTGTATGGAACAGAACAGAAGGACATGAAATGAAATATAGTCATCAGTGTGTGTTTTACATGGATGCCTCTGCAGGTTCATTGTCTAGCAGCCTTCATGCATGAAGACTGAATGACTGCAGGTATTTTCATGGTAAATAAAGGTTAAATGAAACAACTCCACAGAGCGGTTCAGTGACTCGCCTGTGGATGGAGGTTTGGTGATTTCAAACAGAACTGTGCCGGTTTCCATGTCTCGGATCTTGAACCTGGTGAAGTCGATGTTGTAAATGTTCTCGTCCGGGCTGCACAGATAATCTGAGAGAGAGAGAGAGAGAGAGAGAGAGAGAGAGAGAGAGAGAGAGAGATACAGATTAGACATTAGATACTTGAACCAAGTAGCACATGAATGAAAATAAAAGGTTAGTCATTACCTTAACTTCCTGATCAATATAACTGGGAAGCAGGGACCAAATCTCAATGCTGTTTGAGACTGAAACTTTAAAATATTTTAAATAGCTCTTGACTTATGTTTTTTTTTTGGAACTTATTCTTTAATTTAATATTTCTTGATCTCAATAAGTTATATTTAGATCACATTTCATTTAGGATATAGTTGTTTATTTTAACGCCATATTTATATTTTGTTAAATAGTAAAAAGGTTGAAAACATGTTTTTGTTTCTAAGGAAACTGGTTTCAAACAAATCTCCACCCTCAGAAGGAGATTCACTTACTTACTTATTATCACAATATTAAATTGTTTTCCAGCTACTAAACATGTTTTTCTTATTAATGAATATACTTTGCAAAGATGAAAATTATGACTGTGAATAAATGAAGGTTATAATGTTGAACTTTGTTTAATGTTGATGAAAAGCAAAAGTGAACCGTTGCAAAGAAATTAAATTCTCTTATTAAGCAGGAGGAAGCTCTAATCTGAAGAGCTGCTTTACTTTCAATCCTCTCTGTGAACAGATGACAATACTGAGAGCGGATCACGCTAACAAGAAAATAAATACGCTAAAAGTGGTTATACCGATAATAGATGTCATTATGTGCTCCAACATTCACATACCCCAAAAACACCTCACAGTAAATGAGCAACATATTCAAATAATATTATCAGTTCTGTTTTCTGTAGTTTCAAGTCATTCTCAACTGCTGACTAAAGTGTTAAAAAGCTCAGTCTGATCATTTAGAGTGACGTTCCTACATGAATCTTTAGGACAATCTGTGTTAAAAGAGACATTTCCTCACATATACGACAACACACACACACACACGAACACGCACAGAGTTATTTTTGTTCCTCTTATCCTTCCTGCCCTCACCAGGCAGTGTCACTGCTTATTAGCGTTCCCCAGCAGAGCAGACACTTCCTGCCTCCTGCCTGATCCCATGAAACCACTGGCCGGGAGGTGCAACTGCAACATCCCTCCATCGCCTCCTCTGAGGCCCACTGGCTCGCCACAGAGCTCAAGTAAGTCAAAAAGTGAATTCGAGGTGACATTGTTTCAGGGATTTGAGAGTGGATCACTGCACAGCCTCGAGAGAAACAGACAAGAGTCACACTGTGAGTTTAGAAGATCAGTAAATGTGTGTGATTACATGCCATGTTCCCTTATTAGCTCAGTGACTGTTTTTCCTTCTCATCTGATGTTAACAGATGTGCGGCTGTCTCTGCGTGTTCTGCTGCTTCTCCTGATGGACACACACACACACACACACACACACACCACACACACACACACACACACACAGACGGTACATCAGGTCAGAAGACAGTAAACCGATCACATCTGTCTGCTCAAAGACAACAGTGAGACAGTGGAGACATGGACGTCTGTCAGTAAAGAGAGGGATCATTTAATTGCTAATGATAACCAATCACCTCACCAGCTGTTCTCTGTAACATTTCGACAGCAGCAGCCTCCTACTAAAAGAACATGACATCATATCACCAGATGTTACCATGAGCTCCCAGTTGTGAATTTCATGTCTGTTTTTCCTATTTCTATTGTAAATGTGAATTTTTATTGCCAATGTTAACTTGATGATGTCAGAATCTACCTTTATATAAAGGAAGCAGCTTTCACTCAGAGGGCCAGTGTGAAAACTGTGTGCAGGTTCGTAGCTAAATATCTGTGTATGCAGAAATATGCATACACAATGTTTTTTGATTCATAAACTGTGTGGATTGGATTTGTTTTATAGATCACTGTGGTGGAGAAAAAGAAGAAGCACAGTTACCAGATGTCATTACAGTACATGTGGCCATTACACATGGCTGTGGCAAGTCACTAATTCATCACATGTACCTGTAAACGATCATTGGCAGTGTTATCTCAATTATCATCAGTGAGCAAGGATTCATTAATAACTTTTTTGAAAAATACTAAGACAAAATGAGAAGGTGGTTATCACAGGGGCAGATAATGAATCGTATAATGTTAATAAAAAGAATGATAAAATCAGCCTGACAAATTAAATACAATTATCTTTAAAAATGCACCAACAACCTAATTAAACAACAAACACTTTCTGCTCCTCCGGTGAAGAGACTCGCAAGATACTATAAAGTGTTTAGTGTTTATGCTGCATTCAAACAATGTCGGCAGAACGGGATGAACGGGAAAAACACCCGTTATTCCGACTTGAGAGTTCACATATTATTTCAAGATGGCTGGTCTGACTACGAACCTTGTAGTCACAGCAGATAAACGGACTAAATCAGCTACTTTTGTTGTGCATTTGTAGCAGTTGAAACCAGATGCAAACAAACTGTGTATAGCTCCTATAACATGAGCTGAACTGTTTGTATTACTGTTAATATTGGATTTTACTTTGATGTAACCTACAGAGAAATTACCACCTCAATGTGCAGCACCCCTTGGCTTTACACAGGAGCAACGAGTTTAAAGCTGTTAAACCGTCGGATCTGTTAAATTCACTCTCACCGTGCCCTTAACATTGTTTTTCACTAAACAAGGCAGCGGTTGTCAACAAATAAGCTCTAAAAATCCACTGTACAGTGTCTGCTCAGCACCGAAGCTACTGAAGCAAGTAGGTGGTGAACACAGTGGAGCATTTAAAGAGCCAGATTTTACCTCTGGAGACAGTAGAGACCAAAATCAGAGCTAAACACAGAGGGAATAACTGTTTACTAATAATGTCAACTTACAAGGTTACAAGGTAAAAACTTGTGTCTGCTGCCCCCAAGAGGCCAACTCTCTCTAGCAGCCAAAAGGAGAATGATGACATCAGCAGACATTAACCTTCAGTAGCAGTTCAGCAGCGTCCCTACATGTGAAATGTAAATGGGACAATATGTAAGTTAGGTCCATTTAGGATGAAGGTGTTTTTAGTGACTTCTCAGGGTTAACAAGCTGGAGCCTGAACCTGACAGAGACCGCAGCCTCTGTCTGCTTTAGCTTCCTGGATAGTGTTTATTTCTGCATTCACTCCCCCTGGAGGTCTCCTCCCAATGCTCCCTGCATGTTATTTTTCATGCTTATGTATTCATGCCGGCGCATCCCACAAGAAGAACCATACCCTGAAGTCACAGTATGTTGTCAACTCCATTTACTGTACGGGGTGAGTGTTCCTGACAGTGCTGATCTGACTCGTTGTGACCCCGTGATGCCTTTGCTCCTCTGTCAGTCTGAATGCTCTTCTAAACACATCGGCTCTGAATACGTCGCTCCATTTACTGCCGTGCAACACCTGAAGACTCACACAGCCTTCGCCCGCACACGAGACAAACAGGGGAAAAACACAAACAAACCCTCAGCAGACACACAGTTTTAATTAATACTGTACAATATCTGTGCCTGCGAGGAGTGGGACCAATAATAAACAGTTGTGCATGGATGTGTGTGTGTGTGTGTGTTTGTGTGTGGGGGTGGGTGGGTCTGCATGTGTTTAATAAACTGAACCACAGCTGGTGTTGTCCTCATCCTTTTGCTAACCTGGTGCTAATTGTTACTTTTGAGCCTCCTAATGAAGTCCCAGGAGCGCATTGAGTTTGAATAAGAGACAATGAGTTTGTGTTGTGCACGTGTATGTGTGTGTGTTTGTGTCTCTGTGGTGTGTGTGTATGTGTGCACTCTCACTTTGCCTCAGAAAACCCAAGGTGTTTGTAGTAAATGACATGCAGTCTGTTACCTCAAGTCACACACACACACACACACACACACTCACACACACAGAGACACAGACACACACACACACACACACACACACACACACACACACACACACACACACACACACACACACACACACACACACACAGACACACACACACACAGAGAGACACACACACACACAGGACATGTTCGGTCTGGAGGTGTTTACTATCACAGCCCAGAAGGAGAGCTGACAGTGATAAACTGGCTTCTAGCAGCAAGTTATCCTCAGACGGCTGTGTGTGTGTGTGTGTGTGTGTGTGTGTGTGTGTGTGTGTGTGTGTGTGTGTGTATGTGTGTGTGTATGTGTGTGTGTGTACGTACATGTCTTTCCACAGCTGTGTGGACACATTTTGGTTTAAAACCATCATGGGGAGGAGGGATGGTGCAGTGAAGTGTCTGGTCACAGCAGTCGAAGCTGAATTATGCAACACATCAAGGGGACTATTAACAGTCAAAGCTGAGCTGCGAGTGTTAACTCAGCAGTCAAACTCTGCTAGAAACAGGAAGCTCGTCTACAAACCACTTCTTCAAACTTCAACATTAGCGGGGTAAAAAAAAAAAAAAAAAAAAAAAACTTCACACTTCATGTTGTCAAGAACTAAACACTCGCTCAGTCATGGACCGTCCCAGGACTCACTGTTACGCTCCTACAGCCGGATCCGAGCTATATCAAGTTTCTGCTGATGCTCGCTGAACATTTCCTTCTCCTGCTTCACATTAAAAGCATTCAACTGGCAAAACATGGGCTGTCTTTTAGTGTGAGGGAGCTGTAGGAGATGTATTGGGAGCATGATATCAGATTGTGGTTGCTCATGACATGATGGAGGGAGGCCAGATATTGACTGACTTCTTTATTCAAACATGTTTGTTTGGCTGCTTTGTAAACAGATAGTCCAGTTGCCTTTGTGTGTAACTTTAAAGACACGGTACGTGTGATACTTACATGTACTCCTCCCTTCCTGTGTAGTCACTGCAGCTGTGGCAGAAATCACCAGTTTACAGCCAGACTAGGTCAGGTCCACCCTTCAACACATACTGCATCACATGACCTAGATTCAGCCAAAATAAACAGTTCGGGGCTCGTTTTAGCGCTTCACCCAGATAACGCCGCGACAGGACAGATCTT